AGCCACCTATTTTTAGCTTGATTTGACATGACTTTCCTTCCTGCCCTTTTTGCATATATTTATTCATCTGCACTGACCTTATTTTGACTCTTAGCAAGTGACACACTTATGACACATGCACACACACCTAGGACTGGAATGCATTCATATACATTCTCCTTGTATCTTCAGGCTCCATACCGTCCTTGCTTCCCTCCAGAATTTATCACTGAAAAAAATATGCCCCAATGAAGCTCAGTGTCCCAGCTATTTAGCCTGTCCATTGAATCTAGATGTTGTATGGTGCTATAAAAATACAGTAAGAAGTCTTTAATTTCTAAATCCCATATTTGGATGTATTCTAACGTGATGATGATTACCTTGCATTTTCAGTATCTTATTTAAATGTCATAGTCCTTCAGTACTACAGCTGTTTGTGGCTCTTTGGCATGTGATGCAATGAGGTTATCTCGGTAAATTTCTGACTGAGCTGGACTCCATATCTCAGAAACCACGACTGTGGTTGGCACTGTTTACTCCCTGGGTAACTATTTTAGCAAGTACTGAATGAGCGTGGCAACTACATCAGGGCTGAGCCACACTGGCAGAGTGATACAGGGAAACTCATGTTGCGTTTGTCCATGCAGCACCTTTCAGTAAATAAATAAAGGACTTCAGCCTCTGGAGCTGACAACCCAGCATCTTTTGCAAGTGGCTAAATAAATTAACAAAAATGCCTTTGATATCAGCCCTAGAATGGTGCATCCTGTTGCTAACCTGAGATAAGCACAAGCCCTTTTCATATGTAAGAATGCATGTGATCCCACGGTTTCACATTGCTACTGTCTCTTTTTCCTTCCCTCTCTAAAATGCCAACCCTATTGGAAAATCAATTTTATAGAACTTATCCACTGCACGCTATGCTCTTGCCAAGACCCCGACTCGTTCACAGCACACTGCCTCTTTGTGACTAACAAGCTCCCCATATGTTGCAGGACTTGTCAGCCATGCTGATCTTTGCCGGTGACCCAGCTGTGTGCTAACTAGGATGGCTACTACGCCTTCTTTCGCAGATAATAAGAGACAAGGCAGCAGCCTCAGCTGGTGAAATAAAAGGCGTTTGTGGACAATGTGCCCAGTTCTATAATTCTTCATTTCTGAAGGCCTTCCAGAAGCCTTTTGTATGCATGGAGAACTTCCAAGAAGGCTTTGAAAGAGATTTATATTCCTGAAGAATATTTTGATAAAGAAAATTCTATAATTTACAACATTTTTTTTCAATACTAGCTAAAGGCCCCAAATAACAGCAGTACTTGATGTAGTTGTCTGAAACTTGGAATGAGGAAGGGACAGGCATTGCTTGTTGCGAAACTGCTGTTGGTCATCGGCCATCCTTCAGCACAGCTCACAAGCAGGCTTCTTCAAACTCCTGCTAAAGGGATGCCGCAGATATGCAGGATCTTCAGACTGTGCTTGTAGAGATCTACTGACATTCATTCATACACCTAACAGAAAGCAAACTTGGCCTAATCTCTGAGAACAAGACTCCTACACAGATGGTCTTCTTATGCTGAATGCACTCTGTGGTTGCCCCACTACTCCACAGAGTAAAGGCATGCTTAGGGAAAGAACAATAACCTTGGCCTGATGCTGTCCTTATCTATATAATCTCTGGAAGCACTACCAGGAATCAGCTCCAGACTTCTACAGAAGGCTTCTTCTTTTCATACGTATAGGCCTTTCCCAAGCTACACATGCATATTGTTCCAGGTGTTTCCTGGTCATTTTATCATGGATCACCACAGAAAGACTCATGTTTTTCTACCTACTCTTACTGTCTCTCTCTATTTCTCTCCATCCATCCATCCATCCATCCATCCATCCATCTATCCATCCATCGCCTTCTCAGCCTTCCTTTATTGTCCTGCTATGGACAGACCTTCAGCCAGGCAGACTGGCCTTGGCTCATGCAACCAGTGTATCAGGCAGCTATGAAGGCCTTTATGAAATCAAATTTAAAAAGCCACTGTTATGGACATGAGAGCAATTCCACTCTTTCTATAGGTATGTGACAGCTCTAGGCTCCTCTGCTTTGTATGAACTTTGCTGAGTTTTTCATTGTCAGATTTATCATATCCAGAGCAATATTTATTTCCCCAAACTAAATCCAGAATATTCTATATTGTCTTGTTCTGCAGCCAGTGCAAGGAAACAAGTCTGCGTTGCTTTCCAAAAAAGATGCTTCTCCCATGACATTTTATAGCAATTCCAGTCAAAGTCGCAGCAAGTGACATTTCTCTGCGGGTCATATGTCTGCCTCCTTTGTCTGCAAAACTATTTGCTGATGTATTTATTTTGGCAATTTCCAATTCAGATACGTTTTCGTATGCTTCTCCCTCATGCTCCTCCCATTTTTGTGCAACAGGACATTGTAGCCTCTAGGATAACCAGATGGGTGTAAGGACCGAGCCTTCAGCTGGTGTAAATTGGCAATGCCAATAAAGTCCTTGGAGTTGCACTGATTTACACCAACACTGGTTATTTATTTTCTCACGTATTAGCCTTAATACCCCTCTACTAATGTAGCTACTATTTCTCATACAATCAGTTTCTTTTTTGTAGGAATTAAGCTCTTGTAATTTTATAGTACCAAACACAGCAGCAGACCCAACTATAACTAATCTGAATTTATAGACAAATCATTACCTGACTGTATATACGTGTGTCTAGAGAAGGAAAGATCCAGCAATCATTTGGAGTCTCCATCTACTTATGCCACACTTTCCTCTCTAATGCACACACTTTATGTTCACAAAGTTTCTGCTTTCGGGCTTTCTGATGGTTCTGGTCTTTAAGGCACAAAGAGAAAGGGCACTTTGCTCTGCCTCAGGCATGTGGCTGGCCAAAGACACTCATCTGATTAAAAGAACATTTTGCCTTTCTCGATCCAAAATTTGGAGTTCAAGTACAGCGAAGTAACTATCTAAACTGCAGACAGGGCAAGCAGCTCAGTTGGAATTACTGAGAATAAAAAGATTTTGTTTCTATGTGACGAAAACCAAAGTTCAATGATTTGAAAATTCATTTATTGCTCATCTAAACCACAATGGGTTTCCGCTGCTGTAAATCTCTCCCTTTTCCCTTCTTAGTATGTCTATTATAGACCCATATACTCTCCTCTGATTTTATACAAGTTTGGTGACGCTGTTGTTCACAACATACCAGCACAAAGAAACCACAGTTATCACTAAAGATGCCGCTATAGTAAATACCATTACAAATTCCATCCTAGCCAGTCATTATTCAGGGAACTGTAGCAGGATCTGCGCTGAATCACTCCAGACTTCGTAATATGGAAAGCTCTATCCAAGTCTTTGCAATGAAATATTAAACTTGGGGGAATGCAATGTGCAAATATTCTCAATAAATTGTATTCATTATCAGTGCAAAGAGAAAGGAAGGAGTTCATTAATAGGAGAATAATAATGACTATAATGTTGTAATGAATATATATATGGTATCTAAATGAATATAAGAGCATTATTCTCCTATACCCCTCCCCCCATATATACAATAAATGGTATTTTTTTTTGTTGTGATGCCTTTACTACTCGTTAAGTCAGGTTAAAGCAGATTGTTTTCCGCTTCACATTGTACGTTCCCCCCGAGCGGCCCCAGCCCGGTGATGAAAATGTGGTTTCTGCAGTAAGGAGCCGTGCCATTTTCGCCCCCGTCAATGAAGTCCAGCACATGCGAGAGCCCTCGCGGCACCAGGCGCGCAGGAGAGCCGGGGCCAGGCCGGCGGGTCGAGCTGCGACACGAGCATTTCCTCCCGCCGTTCGCTGCGACCGAGACGTGTAACGGCGATATGACACAGCCCTGCATCGCTAAACCCAACTCAGCTGGAAGCACAAGCATGGTACAAAAAGCCTAACGGCGTGTGCCTTTTTTTTTTTAATTTATTTTGGTAACAAACCCCTTTCCGAAGGAAGAGCAGCGTTGTGCAGATTAAGCAGGCTCCTACTGAAGTTTCCCCGAGTTACTCCACCTACTCTGCACGCACTCTCGTTCGGACCAGCCTGTTCGAGTGCTAATTCCGCACCGCCGCGGTGGGGTTTGCAGGCAGGCTCCCGAGGGCAGGGCCGGCCCGAAGGGACGCAGCCGCTA